AAGTTGGTGGTTCAAATGCATCAGCTGCTCCACAGGAGGAAAAATGAGACTGTCTGCTCCCATAAAGGTTTACAGTCTTGGGCACCCTAAGGAGCAGCCCTATTCTGTCCTACAGGGTCAATATGAGCCTGAATCAATTTGAGGGCAGTAGGTTTACTGTCTGTCTGTCTGTCTGTTACTTTCTCTCTCTCTCTTTTTCCCCCATATATAATAATTTACACCTCTAAAGGGCACATTCTACAAGTCAGCCTCCGGGACACCAGCTCTTAGTCCCTCTCTTCCCATGAATCTAGAGTCCTCAGCTGCTCTCCCTTCTCCATGTCCCCATCTCTGCCTCCGTCTTTGGTGCTGTTGCTTCTCTAGATAAGGCCCCGCATTCTGCTTGTGCTCTTCTCCCTTGATGGTCCTAGGGTTCTCCGTTTCTGGACTGTAAGATTAACCACTCCCCTGTTTTTGTTACAAAACTTCTACCTTTATAATTGTGACAGTCACAATCATGACAATTATTCACTATTAAATCATACGAATCTTATCCCTATCTCTTTTCACCTAGACCCTTCTAAACAAGAAAACTATTCAGTGGGGAATCTTCCCCCCACCTCCCACCCCCACACACTCTTGAACTAAACTCCCTCTTGAAAACTTGTAAGCCAGTCACTTCATGCCTTTATCACCCCCTCATTTTAGGTAGCCAATGTGTAAGTTGTCCATCCCGATCTACGCTGTGTACAGAGGGGATAGCGTTGATACTTGATGTGGACACTCCTTCCCTCTCTGTTGGTATTTAGAGTTACTACCTCCAAGAGTAAAGGTCAGATTCATCAAATTGTAGCAATTTACCCTTGTTTCCTTTATCAAAAAAAAATGTGTGTATGTGTGTGTAATGTTCATCTAGTGGAGTTCTGATCATCAAGACATCGAGGCTAGGTCAAATGGATACTGTCTGAAAGTTTGGGTGCTCATGTGCATCTCCCCTCACTTCATATCAGCTGGATGCTTCACTCTCAGCTCTAGCCCTCTGTGGCTATGTCCTTTTCCATGGGCTCAAGTGTCCTCAGGTCTCACCATACTTTGGACCAGCCAGCCCTTCCTCTTTTCTCTCTCATCTCCATATCCCAAATGTTCCTCTAATAGATTAGTGCTAAGAGGTTTGTCTTCAATTTCACTAGTTTTGTCGTCCATTAATTCAAGCCTATTCCTCTGTCCTTCCAATGCTTTATGTATTTCTGAAATTTTAGTATAAATCTTCTGAATTTCTGTTTGCTATTTTTGTATGATTTCTAAGTTTCCATTTATTTTGTCCATTTGTTCTTCTATTGGTTCCCTGAATTCTCCTAGAGTTTTAGCTGCATTTTTGATTTTATCCACCTCAGTGTTTTCCCTGATCTCTTTATTAATTTATGTAGGGACCTAAGTATGATTCTTTTGAAAACCTTATGAAGTAGTCCAATAGTATTTCTTCCTCTAGTATATTTCTGGCCCTGTATTTTGGCCCCCACCTTGAATCATCTTGTCCTGTTATTTTGTGTAATTTGAAGTTGTCTATAGATTTAAAAGGGTAGCGTGGTGACTCCATACTATAAGCACTGGACTGGAAACCACAAAGTTGTGGTTTGAGCTCACCAGCTGCTCTGTGGGAATAAGATGAGGCTTTCTGCTTCCACAGATATTTAAAAGCCTCGGAAACCCTATACAGGGTCACAATGAATTGGAACCAACTTGAAGGCAATTAGCAACAACATAGGCTTAAAACCAGGAAAGGTGCGTGCTAGAATTGTACCCTTTCACCATACTTATGCAATACGTATGCTGAATAAATAAACTGAAAAGCTGGATTAGATGAAAAAGAATACGGCGTTAGGATTAGAGGAAGACTCATCAACAATCTGTAAAATGCTGATGGCATAACCTTGCTTGCTAGAAGGAAGAAGACTTGAAATACGTACTGATGAAGAACAAAAATTATGTCTTTGAGTATGGATTGCCGTTCAATGTGAAGAAAACACAAATCCTCACAACTGGACCAATAAGTAACATCATGATAAATGGAAAATAGATTGAAATCGTCAATGGCTTTATTTTGCTTGAATCCACAATCAATGCTCATGGAAGTGGCAGTCAAGAAATCAAATCACATATTGTATTAGGCAAATCTGCTACACAAGACGTCTTCAAAATGTTCAAGAGCAAAAATATCTGTTTGAGGATAAAGGTGTGCCTGACCCAAGCCACAGTATTTTCAATTGTTTCATATGCACGTGAAAGTTGGACAATGAATAAAGAAGACTTCAGAAAAATTAATGTGTTTGAATTATGGTGTTGAAAATATGATATTGAAAATATCATGGACTGTCACATGAACAAACAAGTCAGTCTTAGAGTAAGTGTATCAAGAATGTTCCTTAGAAGCAAGGAAGGTGAGAATCTGTCACTTGTACTCTGGCGCCATCGATCCAGTGATGCTGGAGTGTGCGGTTGGCTGCCATCAATCTAGTTGATGGGGAGGTTAGTGTGGTAGGTGTGTCTGCATAGGGTTGCTGGTTCCCTACTCTGATCACCAGTCACTGATGTGGATCCCAGGGCAAGTGTAGCTAGTTATTTGGTTGTTTACCTGATCAAATGATGCTTGCAGTAGTTCATCATGGCCCCACTGGACTACGTCAGTTGGCTATTTATTGCTCTTTATGCTTCCTCGTTCATTGTTTTCATTCCGTCTCTTTCTTGAATCAGTATTTAATCTACTTTTTAATCCTTTCCTTCAAAACTAAGTTTCAGACTTGTCATCCCTATCTCTTTCATATGGCTTCTCAGATTTTGTTGTAGAAGTCTGGATAGTATATTTGTGTAGACCATCATCTTGGATTTTCCCCATAACCTGAATTTTAAAGCTTTCCCCCATTTGTACGAATACATTTAGAAGACTCCACTCTTTTCTAAATCTCAAAAGAGATTTTAATCTAGGAGAGAAGACTTCAAACTCTAATTTTTCCATGTAATATTTCAAATAATGGTGGTCGTTATGTATTGTGGAGTTGGTTCTGACTCATAGTGACCCTGCATAGAGTTTCTGAGGCTGTAAATCTTTATGGGAGCAGAAAGCATTATCTTTCTCCCACGGAACAGCTGGTAGTTTCGAACTGCTGACCTTGAGGTTAGCAGCCCAACTCGCAACCACTATGCTACCAGAAGTTTGGTTATGTAAGTAGAGGGAATAAGGATGGTTTCATTTCACCTGAAAAAAAATTTAAACTCAGAATTTCCTGAAGGTATCTGACTGAATACAATAATGTGTACATCTAAATGACTTAGCCTGGATTTCCACTAAGTCATTGCCATTGGTTTGTTGTTGCTATATCACAGAATTGCTGTAAAATAGTGTTTGATAATTTACTTAGGGGAGACTGTCCCAATTCCTCCTTCTCCTAGTTAACGCTGGTAAGGGTCTAAGACACTTAGGAAAACAGGAATGCCACACAGTTTGTTCATTTAGGGTCTCCATGTAAGAGAGGCACACATGAACTCCTTCAGGCCAGGCACTATGGAAAGCTTCTTTTTGAAACAGATGGAATATGGAATACACAGAAATTTAGATGTAAGTCACCCAATAAAACCTCATAGTAATCAAGGGTGCCATCTCTCCACGTCATCATCTCTGCCTCCATCTCAGGCATCACTGCTTCTCTGGGTAGGGTCCCGCTCTCCACTCTTCTCCCTTGATGGTCCCAGGGACCTCCGCTCCTAGACTGCAAAGTTAATAACTCCCCTCCCTGCTACAAAACGTCTACCTTTACATTTCCAACCCTCACAATCAGTCTTGATAACAATTATTCACTGTTATATCACATGAGACCCGTCTGCATTTCATTGCATCAGCCCCGCCTAGACAGATTGAATACTACTCACTGGAGAGTCTACCTTCCTCCAGGCCCTCTGGATCTAAGTTTCCTCTTGAAAGCTTGTAAGCCAGCCACTTCTTGCCTTTGTCCAATCTTATTCTTGAGTCCACCTTTTCAGACAGCATGTCCTTCACAACCTCTTCATCCTCCAGGCCCAAGCTAACCCAACCTTCCACACTTCTCTTCAGGAGCATATTATAATAGTCCTGCCTCAACACTTTACAGTCAAACTCATGCAGCTGACATAAACTTCTGCCATGCCCTTGCTCACCCAGGCCTGCCTCACCACTGGGTTGATGCAGATGTCTAGTCTAAGAAGGTTCCCTCCTGCCTTGCTTCCCAAATCCTCACCAGAGCTCTGTCTCCACACATCCAGGGGAGTGTTATCTCCTTCCCCCCTTTTCTCTGCACTCCCTACTCCCCAGTTCCCACATGGAGCTGTTCGTGGACCTTCTCCACAACCTGCTTCATGCTCTGCTGCTCCAGGGTCTCCCCATGTGAGCTTCTGACTCTCACCAAACCCTCTCCCGACCATTTTATGCATCTCTTTATTGACTTTTTACTCCCCCAACATTGTTCGCATCATTAGTAACCTCCAGATTTAACAAGGGGACTGACTCCTTCTCAACACTGTATTTGCGAACACTTACTGTGTGCCAAGTCTCTGCCCAGTCCTGTCCTGGACATCACACACAGTCAGGAGTATTCCTTCTTTACTGACCACCTTTAATCTCACAGCGAGAAAGGAAGGGCTCATTATTAAACCCATTTTGCAGATGTAGAAACTGAGGCTTAGAAGTTGTGCTGCCCCTGACCTGTTGCACCACCAGTCAGAGGTACCAACAGATATCTATAAAACGGGTGAACAAGCAAGCCTTTCCAAGTGGTGGCAGCCAGTCCCTATCCTGTCTAAACTCTAATGAGCAGGTCTGCTCAGTTCCACTCTCCAAAGTGCTATCAAGTCGTATGTATTGAAATGCTTGTAAACATATGAGATCCAAGTAAGAGCTGTCCACTTCTCCAACAGCTAACTCCTCAGTGGGCTGACTTCTTGTGAAACCTCAGACCGGCTCAGTACCAACACCCTATTTCACATTGACTCACCTTGCCTCCCAGGCATCCTGCTGGGACCCTCTCCTGGGTCCTGAAGCTTGCCACTGGCCCGGAACTGGCTGTCTATCCCGCCTGTGGGCACAGCAGTCTTGGTTTGACACCCCAGCACATTCATGTGGGTTGGGATGGGCTCAAATGTGGGGTCCAGTTCCAAGATGAGCCTGTTGAGTTGCTCAATGGACTGGTCAATGTCCAGGGTGGGGGAGCCTGGTGAGAGGACCACATTCAGGTCCAGTTCAACCCCATTCGTGGCATTTTCACCCGTAAATCTGGGTTTGAATGTTTTTCTGGGAAGGGGCAGCTGTATGTCTGGGGAATTTGGCCCACTGCCTACACCCTTCTGGATGGTCACCCTGGTACTGGGTGCATGGGTAGGAGTAACAGACACTCTAGGCAGGGCTGGGACATGACCAGCGTTGTCGGCTGTGCTGCGGCTGACGAGCTTGCTCTCCCCATCGGATGTGAAGTTGTACTGGTGTGCAGCCACCATCTGCTGCTGGCGCACCCAGGTCTGTGTGGAGTAGCCGCTCTGCCCATAGGTTTGCATTTGTGCTGACACACAAGGCTTCCTCAGCACGGTTGGCAGTTGCCTGGGCTCTCGGTTTCCAAAGGATCGCTCATAGATCAGGTCCATACTAATGCCTAGGTCTGGACCCAGAACACCAGGCAGGTCTTCACCAGTGTTGCTGCCAAAGCCATCCGACAAGAGGGAATTTTGGCTGCTCTTGTGGCAGGTGAAGGCGCCAAGGTGAGCCAAGGGTTGCCCTTCTGAGGAGGACAGTGTACCAAGGCTGTCCACACTGTGCAGGTCATGGTGGGGCATCTCATCATCCAAGATATCTGTTTCCCTGTCTGGTAACTTGGCATCCCCATTAACATGGACCTGGGCTGGCACAACATGGCGGGTTCCACTATACTTGCTTTGAGCATCAGTCATAGCCTTCAGTGAGCTTCCAGACTCTTCTAGGCCAAAGCGGCTGAGGAGCTGGTCAAGCTCAGCCTTCTCTTGGGGGCTCAGTCCTCTCTTGGTGCTGGGAGCCAGGTGCTCTTCTGTCTTATCAGTCCTGACTGAGGCAGTGGAGTGACCAGAGTCACTGCTGACAGACAGGGTGTGGTCGCTGTGGTCTGGACTATGGTTGACTGGGACAGCCTGGGGACCACCTGGGATGCTGGGGTCAGAGGTGCTCTTCTTCCTCACCTTAGCATAGAGGCTACCATCGATGGGTCCCTGCAAGTGCAGCACTGGGAAGAGAAAGCAGAAGAAGGGTTCAGGTACAGGGTAAGAGAGGGCTTTCAACCATTAATTAAAAAATGAATTCATAATAGAAAAATTAATTCACAATAGAACATAATAAACAAGACAAGGGATCCTCTCAGACTCCAAAATTCTATTTATAACCCAGCAAAGCAGAGTGTCAAGGAGAAGGAGAATTCAAATTATCAAACATTTTTAGCAGCTAGAAATATTTCTACCTTTCTATGATAAGAGAACTGAGAATCCCTCTGGAATTCATTGCACTTCAAGTTGTCTCTTTTAATGACTCACTATTAATTTCATCATGATTTAGAATGTGTAACGGAGTTCAGCTCACCAATCTCCATGAGTCCACTGTTCATGTATGACAAAGGAGAGCTTCCAGACATTAACCTGTCTGATGCAAGTTTTATTCAATGTCTACTATGTGTTGTGTAACAAATTCTTAATCTACAGAACATCAGATTAACAAACCTACCATTATCTCAATGTTCTGGAATCCACTAAAGTCTAAATAGAGACCTTCCCAAGAAAAGGAAATTAAAGGCATACAAACTGTCAATAAAGAAGTAAAATTCTCTTTATTTGCAGACGATATGATCTTATACTTAGAAAATCCCAAAGACTCTGAAAGAAAATTACTGGGACTCATTGATAGATTTGGCAAAGTGGCAGGGTACAAGATTAACATACAAAAATCAGTTGGATTCCTTTACACTAAAATAAAGAGATCTCTGACAAGGAAATCAGTAAAATAATACCATTTACAACAGCCACTCAAAATAATAGACACTTGGGAGTAAATCTAACCAGAGAAACAAAAGACTTGTACAGAGAAAATGATACAACACAACTACAATAAACCAAAAAAAGATCTGCAGAAATGAAGATATATACCTTGTTCATGGATAGGAAGAATGAACATTTATGGAATGTCTACACAACCGAAAGCAATCTGTAGATACAATGCTAATCCAATCCATACTCCTACCTCGTTCTTTAAAGAGATAGAAAAATGGGTCACTAACTTTATATGGAAAGGAGAGAGACCCAGGATATATAAAGTATTATTAAAAAAAAAAAAAAGTAGGAGGTCTCTCACTTACTGATCTCAAGACCTACTACTCAGCCACAGATCTTCAATAAAGGGTCAAAGTACCTTAAATGGGGGAAGACATAGTCTCTTCAACAATTGCTTCTGGCAAATTGGAAATCCATTTGCAGAAAAACAAGACTCAGATCTCACACTACATACAAAAATGAACTCAATCTAGATTAAAGACTTAAATGTAAAACCTATACCTATACAAGGAGCTCTGGTAGTTGCAGTGGTTATGAATCGGGCTGTGAACCGCAAGGTCAGCAGTTCGAAACTACCAGCTGCTCCATGGGAGAAAGATGAGGCTTTCTGCTCCCATAAAGATTTACAGCCTCGGAAACCTTGTACAGGGTCGCTATGGGTCAGAACCGACTCGATAGCACTTAACAACAACAACAATACCTATACGGATCATCAATGAGTTCTGAAACATGGAATAAATAAACTATCAAACACAAGTGAAGACAAAATAGATGACTGGGCTCTGATAAAAATTAGACATATATGCATCAAAGTGATTCACCAAAAGTATAAAAAGAAAACCCACAGACTGGGACAAAAGGTTTGGCAATGATATATCAGACAAAAGATTTGTTGTTGTTAGGTGTTGTCAAGTTGGTACCGACTCATCGTGACCTTGTTCATTACAGAACAAAACACCGCCTGGTCCTGCATCAACTTCACAATATTTGCTACACTTACTGCTGCCACGGTGTCAATCCATCATCTTGGGGGTCTTCCTCTTTTTCAATGACACTCCACTTCACAAGCAAGTCCCTTCTCCAGGGACTGGTCTCTCCTAATAATATGTTTGAAGTATGAGAGATGAAGTCTGGCCTTCCTGTCTAACAAGGAGCATTCTGGCTGTATTTCTTTCAACACAGATTTGTTTGTTATTTTGGCAGTCCATGGTACTTTTAAATATTCTCCTCCAACACCATAACTAAAATACATCAATTCTTCTAAGGCTTTCCTTATTTATTGTTCAACTTTCAGATGCATAAGAGGTTACTGAAAATACCACAGTTGGGGTCAGGCACACCTTGTATCTCAAACTGACATCTTGGCTCTTAAGCATTTTAAAGAGGTCTTGTGCAGTAGATTTGCCTAATGCAATTTGATTTCTTTCTTTCTTTTTCTTCCGTCATTTGATTTCTTGACTGCTGTTTCTAAGAGTGTTGATGATGGAGCCAAGAAAATGAACTCTTTGACAACTTCAATCTTTTCTGCATTTATCACGATATCACTTATTGGTCCAATGGTGAGGACTTTTGTCCCTTTACACTGAGATGCAACACTTACTTAAGGCTGTGCTCTTTGATTTTCCTCAGTAAGTATTTTAAGTTCTCTTCACTTTCAACAAGCAAGGTTGTACCATCTGCATATTGTATGTTGTTAATGAGTCTTCCTCCAGTTCTGATGCCATGTTCTTCCTCATATAATCAAGCTTCTCAGATTATTTGCTCAGCATACAAGTTGAATAAGTATGGTGAAATAATATACACCTGGTGCACACAAAATTTACAGAATACTTCCATGTGTTAACCAGTAAAAGACAAATAATCCAATTTAAATAATGGCCATGGGACATGAACAGACACTTCACCAAAGAAGATATTTAGGCAGCCAACAAACATATGAAGAATTGCTCAATCAGTAGCCATAGCCATTTGAGAGATGCAAATTAAAACAACAATGCGGTATCTTTTTACCCCAGCATTAATAGCAAAGTTACAAGAACGAGGGAATAACAAATGCTGGTAAGGGTAGGAGAGACAGGAATCCTCCTACACTGCTGGTGGGACTGTAAAATGGTGCAGCCGCTGTGGAAAACACTATGGCACGTTCTCAAATAGTGCAAAGTAGAAATTACGTATGACCCAACAGTCCCTCTTGTTGTGTACCACGGTGTCGGTTCCGACTCATAGTGACCCTGAACAGGGTTTCCGAAGCTGTAAATCTTTATGGGAGCACAAAGCATCATCTTTCTCCCACGGAACGCCTGGTAGTTTCAAACCGCTGACCTTAAGGTTCGCAGCCCGATTTGTAACCACTACGCTACCAGAGCGCCTAACAGTCCCTCCAGTTGGTATATATCAAGGAATAAGAGATGTGACATGAGATATGCACACCCGTGTTCACTGCAGGTCTAGTCACAAAAGCAAAAAGATAGAGACAGCCTAAATGCCCATCATCAGACTAATGGGTAAACAATCTTTGGTACCTACAAACATTGGAAGATTTTGCAACGTTGAAAAATAACAAAGAATCTGCAAAGCACCTCACAACATGGAGGACCTTGGAGGACATTATGCATAATTTCTGAGTGAAATTAGTCAATCACAACAGGACAAAAGTTGCATGAGATTACTGTTGTAAAAAGATAAGAAAAAAAATTCTAAGTGAAACAATCTAAGATGTCTACTAAAGTCCTGGTAACATAGTTACAAGGTTAGCAGTTTGATGAGGCTTTCTGCTCCCATAAAGACTCATAGCCTCAGAAATCCTACACAGGGTCCTTGTGAGTCAGAACTCACTCCATGACCCACAACCACCACCACCGTTGTGTGCCATTGGCAGTTCTGACTCACAGCGACGGTTACAGGTTTGGTAGAGGGTAGAAGGAAGGAAAAAACCATAAAAGTGAAAAAAGTTAAATACTGTTAAAAAAAATGTATATATATGGAAACAAACAAATACAGGCCTTCCCATTCAGCCCTGTAAGTATGAGCCACATTAAGAGCCCGTGAGCTCATGGCAAAACCACCTGGCACTTGGGGCTGGTTTTTAGCCTTGATGTCAATCAATCTGGAATGTTATGTTGGGAAAACAAACTTTAGACCTAAAATATTACTGGGAAAAGTGATATGCTCTGTTACTATTATTAATTACAGTGCTGATGGTGGCATTCAGCAACTCCCTGATCCATAAACTGCTGACCGCTGGCATTCATCACCCTTGGCTATGCATCTCAACCTCCACCACAAGTCCTCCTCAGTAGTCAGCATCCCTCCTTCCACCACTCTCCCCCACCTTGTGTGCTTTGTCAACTGTCTAGTTGTTGGCATTGTACAATCAGCAGCTGCTGATGGGATTTGGGAAGGATGAGTAGCATACATTCCACAGAGACAGACCTGGCTTTGTGAGCTCTTCCACAAGGCCCAACTCTGAGCATCTGGCCCAGAGATGGAAGGTGGAGACCCAGGGATTTCACTTTCCTCCAGAACCTCACAGAGCTCAGAGTGACGGGGTGTTAAACATGAAACACAAATAAAAAGTGTTGGAAACCATGTTCTCCAAAAGAGGCAACTACTGACATGAAATCAGAAGGACCATCTTTTGGATTCAGCCACGGGATGAGAGTAAGGGGTAACTGCCATCTATAGAGCACATCTCTGGGTGGTAAACATGGTTAAAATATTGGTTAACTGAAAGGCTGGAGGTTCAAGCCCACCCAGAGGCTCCTGGAAAGACAGTCTTGGCAGTCTACTTCCAGAAAATCAGCCACTGAAATCCCTACAGAGAGCAGTGCAACCCGCATGGAGTTGCTATGAGTTGGAGTTGGCTCACCAGCAACTAGTTTTCTGGTATTACATGATGGGCTCATAACCACATTTTTGGTATTTTCACAATATAAAAATTTGATGTTGGTATTCCTGTTTTATTATCAATATCTGATACACAGGCTGAAGAGGTGTGGGAGGGAGAGTGAGTGGTAGTATGCCCACAGATATATAAAGATTTGACAAAGGATATGTGTACATATGCAAACACAGCCCTGAATGTGGTGGACTATACAAGGGGCAAGATTATGAAAACAAAGACATTCTCAAAGACCTTGAGGTAATGAGACGCTGGGTCTGGGGGCTTCGGACCATAGTCTTGAGG